ACACTCCTAGGCGGCATTGGAGGAATCGAGTGCACAAACTTGTGAGTAGGGAGATGGGCCATATTTAGTATGTTCGAAAGAAGGCGGTGCAGCACAAGAAGGTAAAATGAGAAGTAGAGGCGAGGAGTGATGCCACTACGATTGAATAGAAAATTGGTTAAGGGGATTTGCCTTCACTTGTCACTGATAAGTTGTAACTCTGCGTTGGCGATGGCGCTTCTCACTGGCGATGCCAGTGAAACGTTTCGGAATGTACCAAGTCAATTGTCCGATGCTGGCAATCACGAATACTATGTAAGAAGACACAGGACTATGTACTTCCCGCAAGGGCCCCCTGACGCTCCGGCAAAGTTTTGAAAACTTTATCAAACCAATACTATGAAGCTGAAGGAGACTAATCAAACAGAAGGCCACACCAACTGATTTATTTCTTAAGACTAAGTTTTTATTTTTTTTAATTGCAACGCTGATATATTACTCGAGCGATGTTTATACCAATTTTCGGGACTCGTAATTAGGCTCCTTTTATTGGGTATTTAAGCATCATGCGAACCGTTAGTTGCTCATTTTTGCTTACACTTTTGTTCCTAGCCTCTCAATTTGCTTTTTTGCCATGATTATCGTAAACTGCAAATGCGCAACACTACGGTTCACCACTTGTTACTATAGCTTGCGCTATAATGATGATTCCAAAGTTTAAAGGGCTATTTAAGAGATTGAAATACCGAAATTTCTAGGATCGGTCTTTTCCAGCACACCTTGTGATATCGGCATCTCAGCTTTTTTGGTTTAGCTACCGCCTACTATATAATTTTTCATTTTCGTCTCTAAAAAGCAGATAACTAGGCCCCTAACTTATACTACAACACTGGTCCAATTTCTATTCGGTCACAATCAAGTCCAGCTATTAATTGAATGTTTCTATTAGTTCCCCTTTTGCCAAATTACTAAGTAATTTGGATGTTCATTTTTTTAAAGCCTTTAACCAAGATGCATTATCTGAACTAGGTTAAATGAGTGGTGTACCCTTCAAGCAATCAAGTATATTTCAACGCTAGGCCACTCGAGTGAGGTCGCTTAATCCACCAATTATCATTGGAAGGTGTTTTTAAGACTAACTTCACAGTGATTTTAGCACTCATACTATGTTCCCGTACTATATGAGCTAATTTACAGGTTTTTAGATTTATTCCTTTCGAATAAGGAAATGGCCGTATAAAAATCCCGTTTTTTCTCTTACTATCAATAAACTTTATTTTCTGATGGGCTAATCTTTGATCTTTAAATTAGTTTATGATTAAATTAGAGTAGTGGTGTTTATCTCGGCCGGCTTCTTTCTTCCTCTTTTACCGCAGCTTCATATGTTGCCTCCTCTCATGCCTCTGTCTGATGCTTTCTGCCTCAGTTCAATTCGTGTCGCGAGGCCCGCTCCGTCATTGAGCAGATCGCGCTATCTTTGGCCGCGGCGGAGTCAGCTCTTCACTTCGAACACCGCGATCTTCATTGGCACAATGTGCTCGTGCGACCCACGCGTCAATCAAAGCTGCGCTACCGCATAGGGAATATCAGTTATGCTGTGCAGACAGAGGGCATCCATGTCACCATCATTGACTTCACTGTATCTCGACTTTGTCACGGTGAGCTAAATCGGCACTGGTTGTTTATGTGAATCGTTCTTAAATAGTTTAGCACCTATGTTAAGATTGGTGTTTTACTGTTGACGGTTTAGTTCTGATGCATCCAGGGAGCTGGTTGTAGGATATAAAGACCCACAGAGCCTTAGTTCTATTGGACGAAGCGCGAGGCGTATCAAATGCTATAAAAATGTGGTTGAGAGCTTAAAATTTAATTTACGATAATACACAGTTCTTCTTGATATTGAGCATTGAATATTCATGAAACTATTTGCCCATCGTCTTGAATTCGAAAACTTGGGCAAAATTAAATTAATCCACTCGGATTGTCATGTTTACTAAATTGTGACCAAGTGCAGACCCATCTTTTCCAATATAGCTAGTGGTTAGTCTGCCTTGTCATGATTTCGTTATTTGCAACAACTTTAGATGACCATATTGATATTATGAGAGGTATTCACCCTATTTCGTTTAAG